TATATATATATATATATATATATATATATATATATATATATATATATATATATATATATCGTTCATTGTTTGGACCTTTAGCCCATGATAGAGGTAGTGAAGGAGGAGCCTTGTCTGAAGCCAGCAAAGGTGAGCCGGAACAAACAGAGGAAAAGCTTCTCGCGGAACCGCACACACATAGGACAGCAGAGGCGGAGAGCGCGAACGGTCAGCACCTGCTCTGACTTGCCGCCCAGTTCCCCTGGTGACGCTTTAGAGCCCTTAACAACAGAGACTCATGATGGAGAGACGCCCTCTGCCCCTGAGGCTGATGCTTCACCATCACATGACCCTGACACCAGCCCACCCCACAGCGGCTCACCTGCCCCGCCTTGCCGCAGTGGACAGAAGTACCCCAAAACTAAAAAGGTAGAATTCTTCACCCATAGCTTCCATAAAATGCGTTTCAAAGCAGTTTAATTGTGCATTTTATAACTTGCATATTATCTTTCCCAGCAGCACTTAGTGAGCGAGTGGATGGGTGTTGACAAACAGGAGCGGGGAGCTTCTCGGACTCCGGAGCCTCCACCTGAGAGGCCGTTGCGGATCAGTAGTGATCCTGAGGTCTTGGCCACACAGCTGAACTCTCTACCGGGCATGGCCTGCAGTTCACACGTCTACAGCACGCCTAAACACTACGTCCGCTTCTCCTCTCCTTTTCTGGCCAACCGTAGCCCCAGCACTCTGGGAGTGCCCACGGGGCGGCGGCGCTCAAGAGAAATGCCTGAAACATCACCTACCACTGGTTCCTGCAAGAAGGTAAAATTGCTGCATTATTCAGAGATGTCAGCAAGCATTATTGACTTTTGCCTCTCTCTGATTATAAAATGATTGTTCTGGCGGATGATACTGCAGGGAAAATAATCCCATACATTTGAACTCAGATCCACTTTAATATTTACTTTCAAGTGTTCATATTTAGGCTAGCAAGTTTCTGGTCTAACTTCATATGTTTTGTGCAGCGCTGGCTGAAGCAAGCTTTAGAAGAGGAGGGCTCCACCAGCCCAGGTGAAGGACGCCCTTCTCTGCTGATGCCTAGTGATAGCCCTCTCAGCCCCTCTATAAACGGCGAGTCCCACAGCCCTTTACCTCTCAACGGCAGTTGCTCACTACCAGGTGGGACCATCAGTCCATGTCTGCTGCAAAATAAAAACTTAAAGCTTGTCTAAAGCAGTCCTTAGTCTTTCTTGGTCCATGTGCTTGCAGAATTGCCTACCCCGTTGAAGAAAAGGCGCTTATGTTCACTCGATCCCTGTATGTCAGAGACTTCCACCCCATACGGGTCTCCTTGTGCCACCCCAACCCGAACAGAGTCAACAGAAGCACCAGGCACGCCACTGCTGCTTGCAACGCCTCCTCGACCACGACCAGAGGAACTCAGTACTGAGCCCTCAACACCCTTGCAGATTCCCAACCACCCTCTGCCACAAGAGGTATGTGTGTGTGTATGTGTATATATATATATATATTAGGGATGTCAACGATTAATCGATGATCGATTAATTGTCGATAAGAGATGCAATAGATTAAAGCTATCGATGGTCGATTAAGCCGTTTAATTTTGGGCTGTGTGCGGCTCATGCGCAAAACACATGCGTGACGGTATATAAATGCATCATCATTCACTCATAATTACAAATTAAGCTTTTAATGTGATTTAAACTTTAAAAGTACATTAAAATAGAAACAACACAAAGTTCTTCAACATGGAAAGCGGTGGAAATGTAGTAACTAAGTCATAACCCCAGATAATTCTTTCATATCGGGCTCTGCGCTTTGCAGGGCTGCGGGACACAGGACAGATAGGCTATTCATTCCTACGCCTTATTAATTTGTGGCCACTGTCCATGTTTCATTAATTTTGTTCCTTAACCCATGATTTAACTAAAATGAGGGAACAAATTAATAAATCGAACAAATTCTTAATTCATGGCCATGAAACCTTTCATTTCCCTTAGATGCGAAAACCGTGATAAAAAGTGAATGACAAAATAAACCTGCGAAGTTAGAGGGTTAGACGGTGAGGATTTAGGAAAAGAAACAATGCCTAAATATTACTGAATTTGTAGAAATTCGTGACCAACCGGCAAACCAGAACAAAGCCACGTGAATGTAGGCTATATGGGCTCGAACGGCATCCAAAAGCATGGTCGCGATGTAACATTTTCCAGCTATCCAATTATAATATATTTATAATATATATATAATAATACGAAATATATGTGGCTTAAATAATTAAGCTAACAGATTTAAAACAGAAGTGTGGCGCTGCGCTCCATAAACAAGTTTTTTTTGTTTCAGCTGTTCGATCGCGCCGGCACCTCACGTGCACACACCCCACATATTCAAGCAATTCAAACTTACATCGCAGTCTGTTCATTATCAAAATAAAATACAGTCAACCAAACATATAAAAAGTTACACTGGTCAGTTTAAATAGACCGTAATATAGGCCTACTGATCCACTCTGCAGTTATGCCAAGGACGTTTTTGCTCATGTGAAGAGGATGATCTTTTCCGTCTATATGCGAATGCATGTAAAGTACAAGCCTAGTTTACATTATAAAAAATAGTTTAACATTCAAATACATTGCGAATATGGAAACATTTGGATTTGTGCCGAATGAGACGTGAGCAAATACATCTAACCAAACCTGCGCACGCTCTGTCTCGTATGCACGCAAGCATGCACTGTCACGATCTAATGCACTGTATGCATTATCCTGCATGCCGGATTTTTAAAAACAAATAGGTCTACCGGAACGCAACAATTTAAAATCTGACATTTTCCGAAACGGGATCCAGCAGGATCAAATTAAGTACTGGTCATAATACTCACATGATAATGTTTCATGTGAGCAACAGTGTGTTTTGCTGCAGCAGCACTGATGGAAGCGGTTCACTGACTGCGCAGCACAGCCACACGCGCCACAGTTACGTTTGGGATAATTTTATTTTAAATGCCATAATGTCAGTTGAGAACATTGCAATAGTGTTTTAAAATACAACAACGAGCACCACGAAACCATGTAAAGAGGCGTGTTCAGCGGTCTCCGTGACGGGATAGGAAACAGTCAACAAAGTAAAATTATCTCAAACGAGCTCTCTTCATTTTATCAAATGATCATAATCACATCTATTCATTTTACAATCCTGCTACTAGCATTTTATTCAGACTAAAACCCCTTTAAATCGTTTTTTTTTTTTGAGAGACGCATTTTGCAGCATTAAGGTTAATGATTTATCGATTAATTGATCGTTAATTTAAACGACGATCGATCATGGAAATTATCGAAAATTTACATCCCTAATATATATATATATAATAATTTATGCATTTAGCAGACGCTTTTATCCAAAGTGACTTACAGTGCATTCAGGCTATACATTTTTTTACCAGTATGTGTGTTCCCTGGGAATGGAGCCCACGACCTTTTGCGCTGCTTACGCAATGCTCTACCACTGAGCCACAGGAATATATATATATATATATATATATATATATATATATAGATTGATTGATTGATTGCAGTCTCTCTAAAAGGATTCTTAAACAATTCAAATCTAATCCAGTAATATTGATCTCCAAACTATGAAAACAGAACTATATAGTTCTGACACAAGAGGGCACTAACACTTTTGCTATTGGGCCAGCGTGGACTGTTATCACCAGTGGTGATGATCTTAAAATGATTGGTCACTTCTGTGGCGTTGATTTGAAGCATTATTTTGGTTAAAGGCAACAAAATGATCATGAAATATCTTTGTAAATTCACAGAGCGACTCGTCTATGGACAGTTCTCCAGATGTTAGCCGAAGGCCCAGTACACAAGACGTGAGTTCACTACTTAAATATCCTGTACCTGCTACAGAGGTGTTCTGCTGCATTTTTCATTAGCACATCTAACACATCTTGTTCGTTTGTCAGGTTGAACGACCTCCTTCGCTGTTGGCATCTCCCAGCGTGAGAAATGCAGGCTCTGATACGGCCCCACAGGATCTGGGGTCTCCGAGTCCTCAGCCCTCCCATGCTGAGCCCCAGGATGCCGCGGTAGATGAAGGCATGGAGATTGACGGTGGAGGTTCAGAAGTTGCCTCTGCACCCGAGACACCAGCCTCCTCTTACCCTCCCTGGATGAAGAGTCCAGACCGAGGTGGCCTCTCGTTTTCCCCAGTGAACTCTAATCTGAGAGATCTCACCCCTTCTCACACCTTAGAGATGGGGGCATACAGGCCAGATTCAACCTCCGCTGGCCCCTTCAGTGAGGCGGCGCCCTTCTATTCCTGTAATGAGGAGAGCAGCAGCGTGACCTTTACTCGCTCACTGAGTGGTGATGGCACAGGGGAGGGAGGAGCTGCAAAGAACCCACAGAAGAAAAAGGTCTGTTAAAGCATCTGCCAAATGTATAAATGTAAATAAAAATTTGTTCAATTCCTTATCCGTTAAACTTAACTGAAGAAATGGCTGGAATAAATTTGTCAAAAAAATCATGTATGCCATTTATTCAATGTTGTTAATTGATCTCGTATGTGTGTTGTTAGGTGTCTCTTCTGGAGTACAGGAAACGTCAGCGTGAGGCACGGCGAAGTGGCTCCAAGGGAGAGTGTAGCTCCCCTGTTTTCACGGCACCACCAGTAGATGTATTCCCTGTCGCAGTGGAAGTGATCCCTGAGCCACCTGTTCTCACAGCAACGCCAACCCCCAGGACTCCTCAGAACAGCGAGGAGCCAGACGCCCCACCTCAGGGGGAGAGAGATGGAGAAGGGCAGTGGTATGTCCCTAAAATATATTCCCTTCCATGAGAATAAAGTACTCACCTCCTTTACAATAGAAATTTGTTTTAAAGGTTCAGATTAAAATTCTTATCAAGAAATGAGGCTGTCTTGTGACATTAGAGGTTATGAAACACATTTGTGGAGATATCTTGGACAGTTTGATGGCCATTTGGGCCAACTGAGCTTTGCCAATTATGAATTAAAAATAATATTGAAGCATAATAATTCTCTTTTAATTTACAGGACATCTTCAACGTCAGTAGAGCAGGCCAGGGAACGAAACTACCACAGGGCCTTGTTGTTGAGTGACCATCGCAAGGATGCAGGTAAAAACAACCCTGGAAACATCAGGAAACTTTGGATTGTGATTTCCATGTTTTTTGTGATAATTGTTTAAACCCATGAATTGGTACCTGATATACAAATGGAAGTCTTTTTTAAAAAGTTCATCCAATAATCCCAGGGGTGTCCGTCCTGCAGAGTTAACTCCGACCCTAATTAAACAATGAAACTGGTAATCAAGGTCTTCAAGATCACTAGAAGCTTCCAGGCAGGTGTGCTGGAGCAGTAGGTTGGAGCTAAACTTTGTAAGAAGGTTTGCCCAAACTGTAGAAATCATGGAAATGCATTGATCAAAAGGTGTGGGAACCTTGGTAAAATCTTCTAGTCTTAATATTAAAATACCTGCTTTGTCTCACTTTCAGACAGTGGAGAGTCAGAGGGTGGCGACTCCCAGGTGAAGGAATGTCCTTCTCCCAAGAGCTGCAAGAGCCCCTCGACACATGCAGTAAGAGAACCTTCCCTCAATGGCTACGTTTACATGCACAATTAGTTTTCTCAACCAGCAAGTTCATGTTATCATAAACCATTTTTCTTTCCATTTACAGCCTTGTTCTCCAGCACCCCAGACTGTGTCTCGACCATCCAAAGAGGAAGATGGTGAAGCACAGCCTTGTGGTCCTTCTCAGCCTCAGGCACTGTCCGTCCAGCAGTCCAGCACCAAGACTTCGAGCTCCAAACCAGCCACTCTGACGCCCAGCAAGCTTCACTGCGGACCCTCGCAGAGTCACTACGCTGGACCTTCACTCATGCACTCACCCAAAGCGCAACCTCAAGGTTCACCTTACCGCGGGCAGCGAGCCTTCCTGACAGCTCAGCCTCAGAACCAGCCTCAACCCCAGACTACGTCTGGCCCAGCTACTTTCCCTCAGTATAACCCCCAAAATGCCCCACCGCCACCACCCCCTCCACCCCCAGCTCCACCCACTCCTCCACCACCGCCTCCCCAACAAACTCCTCCCACACAGACCCCGCCCAATCCGAGCGTCTCACAGATCGCTGGTGGTAACCGAGGACCTACCCCTTCGTCCGCCCCCTTTCACAGTACCGGATACTTGGGCACAGGATGGCACTGACCACACCCACTTAATACCCGCCCCCTAAACAAACTTGCTCAGTGGGGCAGAGCTACATTGTGTAACATAGACAACACAGCACCACTGTAAATATTTTCTATGTACCTTTTCACAAAGGCTAATGGAAACCAGTGGGTGAAAAGGGTACATTTTAAAAAGAAAAACGAGAAATGCAGAACTGTATCAGTAGACTTTGTGTAAAAGATGATTGTTAATGAACCCTGGTGCTCATCACTTACCCAGAATCCCCCACACCTCTCTCCTTCCCATAACCTTGTACTGCCATCCTGTCTTTTCCAGACGTCGTTTTTTACTTTTAATGTTTTTATTCATTTTAATCGCCCTTTCCGGTCTCTTCCCGTTGAATCCTTCCTCTATCCTCCCAGTGCAGTGCAATGCAATGGGACATTCCAGTTTCCTCCTTACCTTTCCCTGTTCTTCCTGTTTCTCACTGTTTTTTCTCTCATTAGTTATTTGTTTTATCTAGTGGCTCAATATATAGCAAAAAGGTTTTGTATAGAGAAAAAAAATACAGAATTATTATTTTTTTTATTCCTCCATGTAACAAAAATATCTGTGCACCGCTGCAGAAATTCAGAGGAGACCTTTCTGATAGGCCGCTTCACTGCCCCAGGAGACTGCACTTGTGTGAATGAGCGAGTCTGTGTGCATTGAGTGTCTGTTTTTAAGCGGAAGGGAGCGTGTATGCTTGCGTGCCGCCCGCATCCGTGTGCATATTTGAAGTGCGCATGAGAGACGGAAAGCAAATACGGCGCAGACAGATGTGTGCTGTTCTCTGTGGCAGCTTTAGAAAGAGAGGTCCTTCCTGTAGGGGTAAGCGGTTTATTTTTGAATATCAATGGTTATTTGTAGAAAGTGTAATTTAATGTATAGGTGGTTACTCCAGCTTTCTCCAGAAACAGTTGTAAATATTGGCTTCTTTTCTTTTCTATGCTTGTATAATTCGCTCCCATCCCCATTTTGGAATATGGTTGTAAATACAAGCGCTCTTGACAAAAACGCTGAATGTTTCTGTGACTGTAGCACTATTTTTATTTCTTCCTCTGTTTTTTTTTTTTTTTACTGTTTGTGTGTGAGTGTGTGTGTGTGTGTGTGTGAAGGACAGAGGCTCACAAGACACAGCACTGGTTGGCTATTTTCATGGTTCATTATAATAAATCACTGTAATGACAGTTTTATACCAACCAAATGTCTTGTGTGTTTTACTAAGACGGGAAAGGGGGCTGTTTTTGATGTTTACATGTTCCTAATGTGAATTTTTCTTTCACTGTGAAGGTCACTGTGTGAAGAGGTGCTGCAATGAAGGTTTGAAGAGACTGCTGTTGCGGAGACCTATCTCAAGGTTTCTGTTTATTGACCACTATTATTGTCGTTATATAAAATATGAACCTAGTTGTTTTTTTCTCAGTATCTGATAGATGCTTCAAAGAAAAGAGTTTTTATGACCAATCAGAATGAAAGCAGACTTAAGAAACCCAATCGGAATGAAGGAAGAAAGATTACATGACCAAACAACATCAAGCCAGAGGTTACAATCAACCGGAATGAAGGTAGAAATGTTATGATGAAGAAAGATAAGCATGGGGTGCATAAATAAAGTTGGCTATAACCGCCAATGTTTGTATGCATCTCAATAACATCATGCACAACTTTGTCATGCTAAGGTTTGCCATGTTGAAGACTGAAGCAGCTGTCAGGTCAGTATTACCTAGTGCAGGTCTGGGGTGTCCAGTCCTCCACAAAGGTCAACATCCAGCAGATTTTGGTTACAACCAGCCAAAAACACACTTGCCTGGAAGTTTCTAGTAATCCAGAAGAACATGGTTAGCTGGTGTTTAATTAGTATTGGAGCTAAACTCTACAGGACATTCCCCTTGTCCAAATACCTACACTTACAGTCTTGGCCACTTGAGATCGCGCACGATAGGAAGTGCGCAAAACTGTCCCAGGTCTTAAAAACGTAAAAAAAATTATAAATCCACACTATCTGCGGTATTCGAGGCTTAGTGTATCCCACCATGCATCATGAAATAAATCGTGAGACTTTTTGTCGAGATCTCGTGAGAGGTATGTTAAATATTAATAATAGTTAGATATTACATATAATGTGGTAGTAATACAAAGAGTTGCACGTTTTATTGGTGCAGATGAGCAGTGGTGATAATTATTCTGTGCAACATTTGCAACTGCGTTTTATTACTTAATTAGAAGCACCACACAGAGACTACTGAACATTTAGACATTCAGAAGTTGATTTTAAAATGCAAAGTATTGAAAATAAAAATGAAGCTCTGTAAACAGTGTTGCAACACTATAGTGTGTCCCAGCAGGTAATGAAAAGTTGTACACACGCTTGTGGTCTTCATGTTCACTTGAACACTTGGACCAAATACAGGAAATACATCATGTAAGTAGTCAAGTGCAAAGACCACAAGTCCAGGTATGTGGACAAGGGGATTGGCCCCCCAGGAGCAAGATTGGACACCGCTGACCTATGGAAAAAAAAAAAAGTTAAGTAATAAGATAAATATGTTCTTTACAACAATGCTAAAAATTAAATACCTTGATTTTAGTCGGTAGATGTAAAATCTTTATTCATTAATGTGGGTGAATTGTCTTTAATGAACTTTTATAACTAATACATTTTAATGGTGTATTTGCATCTTTTTCTACATACAACACCATCAGACAAGACAGACACCCGATAAATGAAGTGAAACATTTTTTTCTTTCCCTTCAGAACTTCATCCAGCATTGTCCAAACTCTTCAGTTGTCCAAGAACAGAGGGGGTGGCACAAGGTACACAGTGAGGTCATTTCCTGTGGGCTTTTTTTACTTTTCGAAACCACATCCTCCAGGTTTTCCAGTGACATTTTTTCTTTTTGATTGGCGATCCTAGCCTGTTCAGTTGTCTTGGTGGGACAGAATGATAATACCAAGAGTACAAAACGGTACCAGCTGAGAACATCATAATTATGGCACGCATAACTATACAGCACCAACATTGCCGAGAAGGAAATATCGAATTGGAGACATACAGAAATTCAACATATACACTCAATACATAATACTTAAAACACTCTCCTACTTCTTTATATGCTTGGCCTGTGCACAATTACTAATGGCAGAGATGTCTGCCCCTAATTTTGACACTTATTTTTTAAAAATATATTAACAGTGAACTCTCAACTTCTGTTTACATACCACTTTTAAACAATGTTGGATAGGGTTGTTGAAATAATTGTACATTTTGAAACCCGATAAATGATCACTTGCCTTAAAATTGGCTCTCATTTAAGTGGTCGGGATTCAGTGTCCCAATTTGCTGCCTTTTTTAGTTTTGTTTAGTTTTTTTTGTCAAGGGGTGGTAGTGACAGAAATAATAACAAGCCAGATATGTCGCTCTGTGCCAGAATGTACATCCCACAATTCAATCCTGTAAACGTTTCCTTCTATATTGGCGAATCCAGTCAAATAGAACAGTGTTTTACAGTAATTCATAAATCCCAAAATATTAACATTATTGTAATGCAGGCCTTTAAGGAGAACACAATGTAAAATAAATAAATATTATTATTAATCCAAGTCAAGTTACTTCTAAACGGTGCATTAGCTGCTCTATCATGTTAGTAGCACAGAACACTGTAAATTAAAGTACGGTAGGGATTTGTTGAGAAGCAATTCCAGGGAGTGACGTGAAAAGAAGGGATATGGACAGAAAAGCAGTGAGTTCCCAACTCCATTCACCCTGTTTGCATCCTTTAACTGCTTCAGTCAGGCCTCCTGCCCTCAGGATGATGGGTAAAGCTGGATTGTGATTTCACATAATGATTTTCCTCGAACGAGACAGAAACACCTGAAAACAGATTAACGTGATGTTTTAGTATAAATTCACAGTATTACACTTGAGAAATTTACACAAGGAAGCTAAACTTGAAGAGAAAATTCACTCAAAAATGTAAAATTCCTAACATCACTTTATTTCTACACAAACTAAGATATTTTGAAGAATGTTGTTGTCAGTGAGGTCTAAAAAAAAAACATTGGACCAACTGACTTTCATTTTAAGGACAAAATTGATTTTTTTTTCTTCCACAGAAAGTTTCATACCCCAAATTTTGAAACTGCTCACTTGGATTTAAAATGAATTTAAAAAGAAAAAGCAGCTTCAAAATTTGCATTTGAGGTCCGACTGTGTAATTTGTTTTATCACAAACACAAAAAGGTATTTTGACGATCAAAGACATTTTAAAATAATCATATTAACCCCAAACCTCTGAACAGTAGTGCGTCTATATTAAATATTGATCTTCAGTATGTCTCAAGAACTTCAATATGTCTGAGCCTAACTCTGTTTCAGTAGTAAATGCGTCAACAAAGGCAAAAAATATTGTATCAAACTATCATGGTATTTTTAAAGTAACAAAGACTCGTACATACTGACCAACACTCACTCACCTGAGTGTATCTGGCGTCTATGCATTCCCACTCTCTGTTGATGAAAAAAAAAAGAAAATTAAAGCAAAAAAAAAAAAAATCGCAGCTTAAATACATAGAGTAATTTTCAAATGCAGCAGAAATATTTATCAACTACTGACAGCTGTCACAGTTGATAAATACACATTAAAGGGGGGGTACAATACTGTTTCATGCATTCAGAGTTGTTTACACTGTTAAAAGTGTCGGATTCTCATGCTAAGCATGGACAACATTTTAAAAAACAATTTGGACGTATGACGGAGTATTTCTGTGCTAAAAATCTTACTTCCGGGCTCGTACAAGTTTCGGGGAGTTTTTTTCCGATCGTGGCTCTTCATGACGTAGATGAGGGTGGAACTCCTTATATGGGCATTACTCAGCAGCGCTGCACGGGACTCGCTTGGGAAGAATGTCTCCAAAGAAGTGTGTTTTTGGTTGTAAGGGAAAGATAACTTTGTTCAGCTTCCTAAAGAACCAAACATTATGTAAACAGTGGAGTGTGCAGTTTGTGTTTTTCCGGAGCAGCAACGGAGTTTCACAAGTGTTTGTTGACGAACGTTTTAGAAGCAAGGCCCAGTTCGACGCTGGATTAGCACATGGTTTGATACTGAAAGATGGAGCGGCCCAGCTATAAAAGATCCCGGTCATGATTCAGAACTGTAGACGGCAAGTGAAACTGCATCAAATGTCTGTTTTGTTGGCAGTCGGAGCTCAAGTGCTCGTCAATCTTTAGCTCCGGCCACGGCGCGCCTCGCTTTTTCCGGTGAGAATCTTAAAGCTGTATCTTTTATAAATATGATAAAACTAAAGACTTTTTGGAGATATGAAGGATGCAGTACTACTCTATAGGTACTCAAGATTAACATGAGATTGGGTGAAACTGTGCATTATCTCTCCTTTAAATAGACCTTTTCTCACATACTGTCAGTTGGGATAAACCTAACCAGTAATGTCCACTAGATAGCACTAACACCATCATGTGCCATCACAAAATGTGACAAATTCTGTTTCTGCAGGATTAAGAAGTGAATTGCTCATTCATCATTATACAAACATCCTTACTCACCATTTGCAACTCATCGGTTTCATATCAAACCTTAACACACCTACAAGTGACCCTTCATTACCATTATATAAAATAATAGTTTTATGGTCCAGGTTCCAGGACTTCCTGAAAGTGGAGTTTGTTCCTTCATTTACCTTCATTATATGAAGCATTTTATAGTCCATATCCATAAATAGTGTTTCGCTCCAGGTGTGCTGTTCAGCACAGCATGGGTTCCAGCTGATGCTTTGCCTGTGATTAATATGAACGGGCTGACAGCAAGCTGTGTAAACTGTCATTAGTAATATATGGCTGGGTCCAGAGCCCCAGGCTTCAGTTAACCCCAGTCCATGGTAAATTCTACCTTTCTATTTTTCCTTCACTTGCTATTTTCCTCTTCTTCTCGCTCCTCATATCATTTATTTTCACAGCCCTATCATCTGATTCTGTCCTTAATGACCATCACTTTGTCTTATTTTCTCAAGCTGGTCTGTCTTCACTCACCTCTGGCTGGCAGGCTCTGTCTAGTAATGAATGAATTGGACCGAATGGTACAACAGCTGCGCATTGAAAACTGTTCTTCTAAAAACTAATTCTTCACTTTCATTTATGTAAATTATGCATTTTGTGATTATAATTAAAAAAATCTAATGTCTGTGTATCAGAAATACACAAAACTAGCCAGGCCATTTCTGCATTCTTTCACAGAGAAAAGTTTGATTATACACTTCTTATTAACCACCTCTTTGTTTTTTCAGTATTTCAAAACTTCATTCATCTCATGTTACCTTAATTTGGTAAGAATCACAAATTTAGTATGCAAATCCCTCAAATTTTGGCCCCATGTCTAATTTGAGGCTAATATGCTAGTGTACACTTAGAAGTTTACCAAAATACTGTTACTGAAAAATGGTCCAAATATATATACAAATATTTGTCCTATACAAATAACATTGTCCCTCCCCTTATATCACTTGCAAATGACTAACAATAGCAAGTAGCATATCATAGACATCAACAGCAATAACGCTTAGATTCCACAACCAAATGGTGTTTTTGTCAAAGGTACCAACTATCAAGTTATTCTATTTGTATTTTTTGCTCTGCCCCAACTGTTTTGAACAGGATATATGAATTGTGTATAACCTCTTATTGTCCAACACTTTCACTTATTTATTTGCATAAATGAAGACAGTAACTCAAGTTGACAGAGATACATCTGCAATCTCCCATGGTAAGACATGACATTTAGACATGACAAAGACACAGAAGAACAATCCTTCAGAAAAAAAAAATGTTAATCTTACTGTCTCCCAGCAGCTCCTCGGACATGAGTCCATCCTGCCTGTTGCCCAGCACAAAAGCCAGGAAAGAGAGAATAAGGGCGTCCATGATGCCCATAATGGCCAGGATGTACGCCCAGCGCACTGAGCATGCTCCAATGGTATATTTGTCCGTCCCTTCTCCGCACATCCTCTTCACCTCATCAGCATCCCAGCCATCAGGATATATCATACAGCCCAACACCAGACACGTACCTAAGAGAGAAAGCAGGCATTGTGAGTCGTCCAATTAATAAAAGTTCTATGGATTTTATCAACAGCAGAATGCATTTCTGTACTCAAGCAATATGATAGATGGCAGTTGTAAAGCGTAAGCTGGGAAACAAAAATCAGCTGCAAAAAAAAAAGTCATGGTGGTTTCTTTTGTTCAATTATAACATGTCTGACAGCTGAGAAGAATAAGAAGAGAGGTACCAGTAATCCCGGACGAGCCCCCAATTTATATTCACATACACACACACAAAGCACACTCTGTTGAAAGCTGCTATGAGTAATTTTTGTACAACAAATGAAATTGCAAAAGTTACAAAATGTGAGTGATGTTTGCCAGTGTAAAACGCGCAGGCACGATGCTGTGTGGGTGGTGGTTTTGCAGTTGCTTGGGTGTTCGAATGGTTGCTTACTGGCCAAAGTTAAAAAATCAAACTTGCAGGTCTCCATGATATTCTGGTCCCTAGATTTGCTCAAGTGTCTCCTTCAATGCAATTAGTTTTCAACTAGTTTATAGCCTGCCAAAAAATATAAGTCTGTTAACTTGTCCACCATTGCTCAGGAAGTCCTACCTCAAACTCATGAAACTGGTTGAGCCAGAAGTGTGCAAAGAAAGCAATTCGATATGTCTCCCTTATCTGTTTCCACTAATGTGCTGATAGGTTGAATCAGGTGTGTTTGATTAGGAAGAGTTAAAAAATTGAAAGCTGCTATGAGTAATTTTTGTACACCAAATGAAATTGCAAAAGTTACAAAATGTGAGTGATGTTTGCCAGTGTAAAACGCGCAGGCACGATGCTGTGTGTGGGTGGTGGTTTTGCAGTTGCTTGGGTGTTCGAATGGTTGCTTACTGGCCAAAGTTAAAAAATCAAACTTGCAGGTCTCCATGATATTCTGGTCCCTAGATTTGCTCAAGTGTCTCCTTCAATGCAATTAGTTTTCAACTAGTTTATAGCCTGCCAAAAAATATAAGTCTGTTAACTTGTCCACCATTGCTCAGGAAGTCCTACCTCAAACTCATGAAACTGGTTGAGCCAGAAGTGTGCAAAGAAAGCAATTCGATATGTCTCCCTTATCTGTTTCCACTAATGTGCTGATAGGTTGAATCAGGTGTGTTTGATTAGGAAGAGTTAAAAAATGTGCACTACTGATGTGCCACCAGGAACAGGGCTGGGAAACGCTCATCTATCTACAGTTTGTGACAGCTCATGAGTTGTATTACCCTTCCATTACCACATACCTCACAGAACAAGCAATAGATCTGATCTCAGATCAGCAGAGCGCTTACATCATCCCTGATGGATTGAGACCGGAAAACTGCATCTTCAGGAGTATCAGATCATAGTCATGGTAAATCCTGCAAAACTTTGTGCTGAGAAAGGCGAATACTGCATGTGCCACTTTTGATGCATTGATAGTTTTATGCAGACGCAATCAGTTACACGAGGAATTAATTTATAATGTAACCAGGCCTTCTCTTGGGGTTATTAGACAAATTACCTTGATGCTGCCTTCAAGTCACGTAGGGTTGATCACACTTAAAAGAAGGGCACCACAATGCTGAAGCTACCAATAGGAAAAAATTGGGATTTTCTTTGAGACCTGACTTGGAGGTTGGGGGTCCCCTGTTTGAGTCCTGGAGTTTGTGTACTTTCCGTGTTGGAGTGAATTTCCTCTGGGTGCTCCGGTTTTCTCCTCAATTCAAAAAGTGTGAATGTGTGAGAGTGTTAACCCTGCAATGGACTGGTTAGTCCAAAGGTGTCCAATCCTGCTCCTTGAAGGCTACCGTCCTGCAGAGTTTAGCTCTAACACACCTTCCTTGAAGTTTCTAGTGATACTAAAGACCTTGATTAGCTGGTTTAGAGGTTTTTATTTAAAGGGGTCACATGATGTTGCTAAAAAAATAACTATTTTGTGTATTTGGTGTAATGAAATGTGTTTAAGGTTCAAAATACACATTATTTTCCACATACTGTACATTATTGTTTCTCCTCTATGCTCCGCCTTTCTGAAACGCGTCGATTTTTACAAAGCTCATCGGTCTGAAAAGCGAGGTGTGCTGTGATTGGCCAGCTATCCAGTGTGTTGTGACTGGCCGAATACCTCAAGAGTGTGACGGAAATGTTACGCCCCTTACCATATTGCTGGCATTAGTCTGCTCTCACAGGATCAGGAAACAGTCCTCCATAAAATGTGCTGCACACATCTGAATATTTGGGTTGAACTGTTCTGGAACAGTGTTGTAAATACAACTTAACCACTGATTTCTAGTCGTGTCCTCTTTTGGAAGACCAAACAAAGTAGCTTCGCTTTCACAACGAAACACACAGCGTCACACACGGTGGCCTTGAATGAGCGGAGGCCGGTGGCTAGAGTGAGCGCAGGACGGTGGGCTAGAGTGAGCAGAGGCGGGCTGTCTTGAGTGTGGTCGTCACATGTGGTTCGGCTATCACAGCGCAAAGTTTATGTATTTCCTCAGCGACCAGCACAGATCAGCTCTAGGCATGACGGATGCGAATATCGTCCTCTTTTGAAAGGCCAAACAAAGTAGTTTCGCTTTCACAACGAAACACACAGCGTCTTCACGACATGGCGGCAGCAACAATATTACAGCGAGAATAAAAGTTACGCCGCCTTTCTTTGTGTGAACATTTGGGCGGCGTTATGCAAATCTTCCCACAGAGTGACGTAGACATGTGGGCCCGTGTTAGAACGAGCCGTTTTAGGTAGGCGTGGTTGACTCTTAACTTTTATATAGAATATCTCTTTGGATTTGAGACTTTAGTCTTTGCAACTTTACAGATCTTCTTTATGCACCAAGAGCTTGTAACACTCCAAAGAGAAAGGAAAAATTGAAATCGCATCATATGACCCCTTTAAGGCTAAGTTCAATTCTGCTGGAATTTGGCCCACCAGGAGCAGATTTGGACACCCCTGGACTATCGAAAGCATCCAATCTCAAATATGGAATAGAATCCAGCATTTCTGCAACCCTACATAGGACAATCGTTCTGAAAAATTAATGTATGGAATTTATAAACATACAGAGTTGATGAAAAATGCCCATTTTCTGCGGCAGTGAGAAAATTAGAAAATTATAAAAGCACAAAGCAATTATACACAAATCATCAGTTACACATCTAATTTAAATAAATTGCTCATCTTCTCTCTCGTTTTTTTTTTTTTTTACTTTAGTGACATGACGTGTCAAGCCATAGCAAGAAAGTAAAAAAGAGAAAAAATATGAAATTGCCCACCTGTTTATTCCGACCAAAATCAATTAAATGCACATCATGTAGAAATTATGACATCTGAACCCATAAGTAGGAACTTCCCAGCAGGACTTGAAGGCAGCATAAGTGGTTGGATGAACCAAGGAGGAGAGATTTAGCACAGTCGTAAAGAAAAAGAGTTAGAACAGGAAAAAGAAACTTAAACTGGTGCGAGTAGGAAGTAAAACTATATCATAAGCGATCAAATAGCCCACATACGGATACTGCCAAATGAATCCGGCATGATTAGCACATCTACTTGTCTTTGTCACAGTTTGCTGTGTCATAAAATAGCCACTAAAAACAGTCACTAAGAGCCTTTTCCTGTGTCCTATATCTCTGGCCTTCTACCTCTCGCTTTAATCTCTTGGTTCGTGTATCTAATAAGCGAAACTTCAAAAGACATTCATCACCATTATACTAATAGCCATCAGCAGTCTAATAGTAATCACATTAAAGCTGAGAGCCAATCACCCTCATCCCTGCGTCCACAGTTTATTCGCACCGCAGTCACTCTAGAGAGTTCATAGGTTTCTTTCTTGGGGTTGTTTGTGACAGTGCAACTGAATCTATCACTCGTGCAACCAGCCTTCCTGCAGTTATCTAAGTTGCATGTGTCGTCTAAGTTCTTATGGTGGCGCACCATGTCCTATCCAGGCACGACATGACAAGTTTTCAGTGACAAGTAATTTGTATAGACCAGGGGTAGGCAAGTTCGGTCCTAGAGAGCTAGAGTCCTGCAGAGTTCAGCTCCAACCCTGAAAACAAAACTCACCACAAGCTAATCAATGTCTTCAGGATTTCTAAGGCTACTCTGATAATGAGCTGTCCTTATCTCAACCATCTTGCAAAAGACAAGTTGTCTTTTTCATCCCATTTTGTCTTATTTTTATGTAATAGATGCCGCAGAATAGATTATGGAAAGGCAACCTCGTGGTTCTGTAATATCGCTAGCTCTTTTCTAATAGATCAGACTGCGGCTGCATTGTGAGGGGCTTTGATTTTGCTGGCAGCAAGCACTCATGCTGCATCTGGGTCAGTGAGAGTGCTCTGAGATGCTGTGAGTGTCACATCCGAGATGTGTTTGTAGATAGAGGCTATAAATAAACACAGTTAAAGATGAGAATTCTGCATGTGAGAGGGTGTTTCCGTTAGGAAAGACACATTTGTGATACCCTTAGTCTTCTTCTCTGCATTATCTATTTTTCATGCTATCCTGTAATCTCAGCCAAAGATTTATTGATGAAGCCCCTTGCAATGGATTAAGATCTGTCCAGAACACAGGAAGCAAAAATATACAGGCTGCTACCTGACTACTGGAGCAGTCCCTTTCAAAAGTTGTTCTGAACTTGTGTTCACCTAAGAATTTACATTTTGTCATCATTTACTCATACCATCAAAGTAGTCTATATGACTCATATGCTATATTCCAGCCATCGGAAATCATACCTTAATATTTATTTGGAACAGACCTTAATTTAAGTCATTATTTGCTAAAAATTTCCCGGCTGTCATTTTTGCGCTTTTAAATTTAGAACTTGATAGCCTCAGTATCTATCCACTTTTAATGTATGGAAAAGAAGCTTGAACACTGTAATTGCAGAAGAAAATCCAGCTGTCTGGAATGATATGAGGGTGTGTATATGATGACAGAATAGTAATTTTTGGGTAAACTATCCCTTTAAGTACCCAACTTTTCACATTTGTATGCAG